TTGAAACAACTTACCGGAAGGGGATTCGCCACACCAATGCCGATGCCCTATCACGCCTGCCGATCGCCCCGGATTGCACTTGTTTCTTGGGTTCGGGCCGTTGCAAATCGGCAAGTGACGGTCAGGATCGGGTTCTTGCGGCCGCAGTTGATTCTCCTTCGGACGCTGGTCCTATTTCGGAGGGTGGGAGTGATTCCCTACTTGGCTTGTCGAGTGCTGAGTGGGGCCGCCTCCAAATGGAGGATGCGACCCTCCTGGCACTACGACGTCGCGCGGAAGGATCGGGTCCAGGGAAGTCGGGCGTTGACTCATGGGGGTGGTGCCAGGGCGTACTCATGCATTGGGACGCGACAATCCGCCGTCACAGGCTGGTGGTGCCTTCCACGTTGAGGGGTAGGGCTGTATGGGCTGCTCATGAACGGCTCCTGCACCTGGGTACCCTCAAAACACTTGCCACGCTCCAGCTTAATTACTTTTGGCCGGGCATGGCAAGAGACGTGGACGATCTGCTGCGGTCCTGTACCCAGTGTGCACAACGGAAGCCGCCGGCGAAGGGAGCCAGTCCACCGCTCCAGTCCATTTCGGTCACCCGGGTTAACGAGCTGGTCGCCCTTGATATTTTGGGACCGTTTCCTTCCACGCCGAGGGGTAATAAGTACCTGCTGGTTGGCGTGGAATATTTCACGCGATGGCCTATGGCTTGGCCCCTCGCCAACCAGTCCGCAGCGGCCGTTGCGGAGGCTTTTGTTCAGGGCTACGTCCTCGACAAGGGCGCTCCGGAACGGTTGTTGACCGATCAGGGAAAAAATTTCACTAGTACCCTCTTACACGAGGTATGTGGCCTTCTGGGTACGAAGAAAGTTCGTACCTCGCCTTACCACCCACAGACGGATGGGATGGTGGAACGCTTGCATAGGACTCTTACGTCCATGCTATCCCACCAGGTATCTGAGTCCCAGAACGATTGGGATCTACGGATCGGGGGAGTCCTGGCGGCATACAGGATGGCTCCTCACGCGGCGACCGGTTTCTCGCCATTTTTTTTGATGTATGGTCGCGAGGTTGACCCGCCTGTCGCGACTCAGCTGGCGATTGCCGCGCCTCATGCTAAGTCGAAAATCGCCGACCATGTTAAATTCAACATCCTTCGCTTGGCGGAGGCACGGCAGGCGGCCATGCAAAACTCTGACTCCCGCCAAAAACAAAACGAGAGGTTGCGGTCGCGCCGGACTCACACGCACGAATGGCACCCGGGCGACCGAGCATGGTTGCACTGCCCCCAGGTGCCATTGGCCACCTCGGCTAAGTTGTTGCGACCATGGAGGGGCCCCGTTGAAATTGTGCAGGTTGTGCGGCCTCAATGTGTGCGAATTAAGTGGGGGAAGCGTCGGTGGTTTGTACACCCTTCACGGTTAAAGCCATTTTTTGCTCCGCACGCTTCCTCCCACGAAAATGGCCGAACATGTGGGGAGTCCTCTGACTCCGGGGGGGCGGGATCGATGCCAGCCTCTGATCCACTAATGACTGTCCCGTCTTCAGGAGCCCCAGGACTGAAGCCCTCTGGGCTGCCAGCCTCCCCCGTGGGGGGCGGCGCTGGCACGTCCGGGAAATCGGACGACCAGGCACCTGCTGATGCGACACCTGCCACCGACTCTACCAAGCCGGCCCCTTGTGACGGGCCCGCTGCACGGACTCGCGCCAAAACGCGCCGGTTGTTATGATTAGCTTACCGCGCGTGTTCCGTTGCTGCGGAACCCGCTCATTGTATATATGTTTTTTTGGTTGTATGTGTGTGAAATAACGATGACCACGCTATCTGCTTGTTGCTTGCCGTCCATGTAAGTGTGTGCGTGTGTTGGGAATGGACGGAGAGTCTGCTGTGGTTGCTGAGTTTCAAAGGGAGTGTGTGCGCTGCTGCGTGGTGTTGTCATCTTGATGGTATAGTTAATTATTAACGTGGGAGCGTCGGGTACCCTGTACTGCACCATCTCGTGGGTTACCGTGCGCGATGGGCTTAATTGGAAAAAAAGAGAAAAAAAAAATGTTTTTTTTTGGGCTGTATTGTGCCGCGAGGTGCGGTGTGCGATGCTGTCGTTGCATGACAGAGAATAATTGTGTTGCGGTTGCACAGTTGCGTCGGGATTGATGGTGTGTTGGTCGCCTGCAGATTTGCTTGCTATTGTGTTTCGATGTACGCGTGTGATCGCGATATGCTGATTGCATGTGCTGGTATACCGTTCTGTATATGTATTGCGGTTCTGCGTGAGGGTTTTTTTTTTGTTATATAGGGAACCATCGGTTGATGTTACGCTTGTTCTTGTTATTGTTACTGTTACGAGGCACACGTGTATTGACGGTGTTAATCTTTATTCTTGGGGGTTGAGGGATTGTTGCAGCCGGGACGGCTGCGAGCTGTACAGGGGGGGGTGATGTAGGGGTTATTACGGGAGGAACAGCGGACAACAAACACAGGGCTGTCGGCACTCACATACACGGGTGGTCACACCGACGTCCGCATCAGTTATTGCCCACGCCCCAGCCCTCGGAGGCGATCCCTATAAAAGGTGGAACCCAAAGAGCTCGAGGGGAGTTCGACACGAAGCTGACCAGTGAAGATCCAAGACTCGGAGATTAGGCCCTGGGACTCCCCGGTCTCGCCGTCCTTATAAGGGCCGAGCCGGGTAAGCCAGTGGCGCGGCCCAGGAGCTTCCAGACCGCTGCCCTTGTCAGGGCAAGGCTGGTTAGCTGGTGCCGAGATCTGTGCTTGCCAGGGCCAGATCAGTCAGCCTCCCGTAGCCCAGTAGAGGAGGACTGGGGGACAGGACAGAGGGCTTAGTACTAGGGTGGGTTTCCCATAGTACGGGTGAAGGGGCCGATACCCCTTCAACTATTGTATCTGTCCCGGAGTTAATAAACAGTGTGTCTCAACTTCGACATCGTCTCCTCTGCTACTTACTACACATTTATGGAGGGGGGCTGAGGGAGTGGGTGGGAGAGAGGTGGGGCGGGGACAACGGCCATTGTGAGTTTCATCCTTTGTTGGCCTTTGACCTCTTGAAATGAGCACCCATCACCGGGCGGAAAGAACCTATCAGTCTTCCCGTAAAAGAACCGCCGTCGCCTCCCCCAACCCCCGCAAGAAAGCAAAAAAACAACCCCGTTCCCAAAACAGTTTGAAGAGGTACGGCAGTGTGGAGAGTCGGCGCGCCGAACCGCGCCGTTACTCACTCGCGATCGAGGCGCCGCGGGGCGAGCGCCGTTCATCGCTCGCGTCCCCCGCGCTGCCCCGAGCTCGGCGGCTCGTGCCGTTCGTGCGCGCCCGGCGCCGAGCGAACTCCTCGGACGACCCCAACCCCCCAACCCCCCACTCGCAGCCTCCTCCGTTAATTCAGCCACGCGGGGAGTTGGATTTCGCAGTCGCCCGGAATTGGTCAGCATCGTTCGGATTCGAGTGTCCCTCGGAGATTGTGCACAACCCAACGTGGGGTAGCGGTCATATCACTCGGTGGCACTTCCCCGATTCCATGGCAGCGATCAGTCTTGTCAGTGGGTGAAGATGCACTGGTGAGTTTGTACACAGTGGTACCGATTGTACTGCCTCGGAGGCAAGAATAAGGAATAGTGGTCAAGAATAGCCACCGAGTGGCAGTGAAGGGATGGAGGGCTTCAGAGGAGACCTTCATCCAGCACTGGATTGATCATGGGTGGTTATGATGATGATGACCCTCGAGATATGATGGGTCTGAGTCAACACCCGACCGGAGTTTGAACTCTCGCGATCTTGCGATCACTCTGCCGCGGTGCCCGTCAGATATTTACAGCATTTGTCAAGCCCTCTAGCACGGGAGGGCACACTGTGTGTGTGTGTGCTTCCCCACACGGGGTGATTGATTTAGCAGGGGAAAATGATGGCTCTGAGCTGCGGAGGGACGCGGGGCGAGACGTGTGAGTTAATGCACCTGCCGCTGCTGCTATCAGTGGCACCAAGGACACCCGAAGTGCCGACGCGGCAGCCAGGGTCGCGCTTTGTTCACGTCTTGGCTGAAATGCGGCACGCTCTGTAGCCTTGGTGCACTCCGGAGGATATTGCTCTGCGCTCCGGGTCATCGATGCGAGTGCCCATGCTGAGTGCTCAACTTCCCTCTGCCAGAGCCAGCCAGCCACGGGGGTCTTTGCCTCCGGTTTTTTCTGCACGCTTGGGGCGCGTCTCTCCTGTGTTTTCTCCGTCCTTGGATTTCCGCAAACATCTCTGCCTCGTTACCTCCTTGTTCCCTCTGTTAGTCTTTATCTCTCTACCTCTCCTCCTCCCTGTGTCTCCATGGCTATTACACTGTCTCTTTGTGGGTTTATCTATATTGTGTCCGTGTTTAACAGCGCTTGCCACAACAGTCTGGTAAAGGCTGTATGGGGGAGCTTTGTCTTGGTCTATCTATGGGTCCGTCTGTTGTCGTCTTTCTCAGCTTGTCTCAAAATTTGTCTGACCATCCACATACCAGTCTCTTTTTCCGTCTGCCTGTCTGCCTGCCTTCCCTTCCCACGGCGTAGACGTCGTCTCTCTGTACATTTTCCTGTCTCTGTCTGTCACTTGCCTTGCTCACCTTGTTTGTAAGTTGCGCAACATTACGTAAGAACCCTGCACACATTCCCGTTATCGTGAAAGCGCGTCGTGTGAACACGCGTTGACCGAGGACTGGTACAGCGAGAAGTATGCCTCGGTCTTTCTAGTGCTGATGTTCGTGACAATGCGCCGGCCACGCAGTTCAGATCGAGTTGTCCTGAGGCCCTAAACCTTGTTCCATTCACATTTGCCACCGTCGGTGGTGCGCGTGGGTCAGGGGTCAAACTCGGATCGTCACTAACCGCTGAAACACTGCTCTCCCCACCCACCACTCTCGCACACACGTACGCACACACACACGCTCACACGTACGCACACACACGTACACACTCACAAACACGCGCAATGCCACACACACACGCACACACGTGTGCTCCCCCAGTCCATGTTCAGCCAGTTTGAGTACAGCGAGAAGAAGGCGCTGCACTCGGACGCGCTGCGCTCGGCGCTCGCCGAGACGTTCAAGGACGAGGACCGCTTCCAGCTGGGCCTCATGGAGGACGCGGCCGAGTGCTTCGTGAGTCCCCACTCGCTCCCCCCGCCTCGCTCCCCCCGCCTCGCTCCCCCCGCCTCGCTCCCCCTGACTTGACGAGAGAGACGGCAGAGCACCCGGGAGGTCACACCGGGTCATCGGCGACGGCCACCGCTCCCGTGCCGACGTGCGCGTGGGTGGCCGAGCTGGGCCACGGCCCCATCGCCTGTCCTGCGCAGTGCTCTCCGTCGGCCACTCGATCTGGTCAGAGGGCAATCCTTCACTTCCTCCTCGCGCCACAATGTGCAGCACCGTCCGCAGCTGTCTGCATTTACACTCCGGGCTGACCCCCCGGACGGCCCACCGGGCCTCGTTGTTGGCCGTGCAGCGACGTTGAACATGGTTCAGTAGAGACCATGCAAGGCTCTGTGTCTTTGCGTCTCAATTGCTGACCCATCACCCATGTCTCCCCCGTGTCCAGCGTAGACTCGTGTCACTGGACACAGGGATCCGGGCGATGCGACCGAGACGCTCGGAGTGGGTGGACGATGCAGGGTTGTCGGCGAAGACCTCGGTGCATGTGGCACTGAAGTGACTCTGACGCGAGGCCTATGGATGTGCGGCGCCGTGTGCCCTCCCTCCCGCAGGAGAACCTGCTGCTGAGAATCCACTTCCACCTGGTGGGCGACGTGCGGGAAGACCTGTGCACCGCGCGCCACTGCGTCACGCATCAGAAGTTCGCCATGAACATGTTTGAGCAGGTGAGTGCGGGGGAGAGGGGACCTCCTTTTGATGTGGGGGCCTTTGCGGGAAAGTTTTGGCGCAGCGTGGAACTTTTGCCCTCCATAAGTGCGACGCCAAGCTAAACTAAATGAAACTATTTTTATTTCACCAGGTAATTGCTTTTATTTTACCCAAGTAATGCCCATTGAGCTATTAGTTATTTTTCTGAAGTGATCTGGCCACAAATAATAGTTCAACGAAGTCGCTTATCACGTTTTAGCCAAATACTCTAAAACGCGTGTTGATTCTAAACATTGAGGGAAAAACCAGGAGGCAAAGGTGGTGCGGTGCTGGTCACCCACCCCTCGGGTGCCGTGCCGGCCTTCATAGTTGCTCGCTAACAGCACTTGCCCCAACAGTCTGTTAAGGCTATACGGGAGATACACACACGCACACGCGCTGGCTTGATGTGGGGGTTTAATCACCGTCATCATCATCATCGGCCATGATCAATCCACTGCTGGATAAAGGCCTCCCCCCAGGCCCTTGTCTCCCCCCGCCTGGTGGGGCCCACAGGGCAAATATTACGGTTGTATTATATTACGCCCGTCATGATTGTTGTTGTCGTGCGTTGTGTCACTCGGCACGTGGACTGCGCTACCACAACAGCCCGCGGGTCATCCAAAGCCCTTCTGGAGGATTGCAACTTACTAGTAAACTAAATAATAATGCCTGCAGCTTCTGAGAAGAAAAACGACGCGATGGAACACGAGGTCTTGGTCAGACACATGGGAGTCACCGCTAGCGGTTTCCTTTATTTAATTAATTATTCCTCGGTTTGTTATTTTTTTTCTTTCTAAATAAGTAATTATCATGAGCAGCATCATGTCAGCCGCTTGGGACAAGGACTCTTCAATTTGGGATCTAAATTTGGGAGCAATGCCAGTAACCCACACTCATTTATGACAATGACAGAGATTATCCGTAGTGAGCACCTATGAAGGGCCGGCATGGCACACGAGGGGGCAGGTGGCCAGCACCGCTCCCGCTCGCCTCTTTCTCTCCAGTGGCGATGTCTACACACACTGTGAGTTGTAGCACAGCGTGCTAACCACTACGCCACCGCTCCCCACACTGGATGTTGCTCTCACCTCGTCGCACGCTACACAGGATCAGACTATTGTGAGTTGGTCCACAGATACCAGAGTTTGAAAATCCCATATAGGCTGGCTTGGGGGTGACATCAGCAGGCTCACAATGTGTGTGTCGGAGCACTCAGCCAGCAACATCCTAAGATTCAGGGGTCATGTCACCCTTGACAAAGACAGTTTCACCTGCGTAGCGTGTGGTGCCACGGTCCAACTTTGCAACATTTTAAATATTCCTGGCAATTACTCAATTGGAATATACGTGGAAATCATCATCCCCTTACTGGAAAATCCTTGGTAGGACCGTGGTGCTTTCCTGGGTAAACAAGCTGAATAATAACAATAATATACTATAATATTTTACGTGTATTTATATACCGTCTAAATTTGACCGCATCTCAAAGATGCAGTACAGAAGCGGCAGGTCTACATTGGTGAATAATTGTCAAACAACCCCCCCATTAGCAAAACAACGTGGGTTAGGCCTTCATTCAGCAGTGGATTGACAGTCGGTTTACATTGTGAAAGACGAGGCAGGATTATTGTTGCCTTGAGGAATTTCCACAGACAGTACCTCTGGCGAGATGTTAACTCCCTCGCCTGGTACGCAGGGTGTCATAGGTTCGGTTCCGACCGTGATGCCTGTATTTTTGGAGTTTGCATGTGCTCCCTCTGGTCGCATGGATTTTTCTTCGGATTTTTTGGTTTTTCCCTCCACATTTATAATCAACACACTGTTATAAAATTCCACATGATGATAATCCACTTCATTGGGATATTATTTGTGGCCAGGTCTCTTCTGAAATATAGCTATATAGCTCGGTGGCCTTACCTGGTAAAATAAAAAGTTTAGTCTGTTATCTGCAAGCCTCTGACCCTTTCTTTCAGCCATGACCCCATGTGGTCTCGGTCACGTTTGGCTTCCAGCCGTCAGAGTACCGCGGTCATCTCGAGACTTGCATGGCCGCTCCCCCCCCCCACCTCAATCTCCCCTCAGTGGGATGGCCATCACCTCCTCGTGCGGCTCTAAAATCTCATCGCGGCATTTCCCGTCCCCCCACAAAGCGAGCGGGAGGGCGGGCCGGCGGGAGGGCGGGCCGGCGGGAGGGCGACTACCCCCCCGTGCGCTTTCATTCCCGCTGAGCGCGCTTAGGCAACACTGCAGTTATTTCACCTCGGGCGCCTGTGCAAAACCAAAAATAAAAAAATCGAGTGCGCGGGGAAATAACAAAACAACATAAAACAACATGGTGCCCGCCCGGTCATGTTGGCACAATTGATCGTGGCTCTTGGATGTAAAGTGCCAATCGAAAAAACCTTTCGGCCTGCTTTCTAGAATGCCGAGCAAAGCAAAAAAAAACAACAACTCCACACAGTAACACACGTCGGCGTTGTAAAGGTCAAATTATATCCACGGTTGGGTAACGGGGACGTCTGGTGGGCGCGCCGCCGCCGCCGCCGTGTGACGGCGGGCGGCTCGTAACCGCATTAAGTGCACTTGACGGGGCTTCACTGTGCGTGCCCTTTTAAAATGCTCGGCCGCTCAGCATCCCGCGCGGTCGCTCGGGAGTTGTCTTTTTTTTTTATTTTAGGCCAGAAAACTTGCTTTCGTCAAACCCGAGGCGTTCGTGCGGTGTTCGGCGTTGTGCTCGCCATGACTTCTCATGGGTCACAAGATCGGCCTTCAGAGGTCACACGGCTTAGCTGTGGCCTTGCGTCCGGCTTGCTGATGAGAGCTTAAAAAAGTGAAATGTGTGAGCCTGTTTCCCATGCTGGCAAAGTTGAGCAGCTCTTGGCAGCGAGTAAATTTGTACGATTTAAATCGTGTTTTGGTCGTAACTCGGTAAGAGTCCGCCAAGACAACCCAGAGAATTGAACTGTTTGCCTGGCTACGTGTGGATCTCGTGCAAACTGGCTCAACCGAGCGGCCCACCGACCCACCCAACCCACCTCCACCCCCCAACCCATCGCTCGCGTAACTTGCCCGCGCGACTTGAGGCACCGGTTCCTGATCGGCGTAAACCAATCGTGTTTTTTCGGGGTCGGCCACCATGGGGAGCGCTCGCTTGACGGGGGATACGGGCCCCGCGCTCACGCTCGGCACTGTGGACAACACTCGGGGCACTAAAATCTGAAGCGAGTGCGGAAGCGGCCGTTCCAGCAGCGCCCCGCGGTGGGAGCGCGTGCGTGTGCATCACGTCTCCGGCCGAAGCGAAAATCCATAACTCCTGGGAATATTTGGGAACGCTCGGCGATGCGGGCTTTGGCGGTTGGTCTTGTGCCGGTGGGCCGGGTGGGGGGTGGGGGAAGCCGACGCTCACTTGTGCGCGTGCCCATTGGAGTTTGTCACCAGATTTCCATTACGGTAATAGCCCCCGTCGCCACCCCCCTCCCCCCCCCCGCTAACGTGGCCGAGTGCCGTGTACTTAATTTAATTTAACGGCACGTGACCCGACGCAACCTCTTTGGGACGCGTCGCAGCCCGTGCCGCCAGACTGGGGATGCCACCCCACTCGACGCCCCCCTCCCCACTTCTCTGCCGTTAGTTGGGCTGCTCCTGTTGTTGCTGCTGCTGCCGCCGTCGCTGCTGCCGTGCGTGTAGACAGAACCCGTGTGCGGAGTGGCGCTCGTTTAGCAATCGCTCTCCGGGCCACGGCGCGCCGTCGCACTGCTGCCCGCCCATGCCTCCGTGTGAGCTTGCGGAGCCAAGCGCCGGATTTGCCGCCCACCGCCTCTCCCCCCCCCCAGCCCCACGTCCCCCTCCCCCTCCCCACGCCCCCTGCACGGTGTTCCATTTGATTGGCCAGCGATATCACGCTGCGTGTGAATGAACACGCCATCGAGTCCCCGCTTGTGCCAGTCCTGACCGTGGTATGACGAGTGCTGGCTGGCACAGGAGGGGGGGGGGGGGTCCTAGTGCCAGCACACCGAATTCCCACGGCCGAAGCGTTAGCTTGGAATCTCGGTTTTAGTAATTAAATCAGGTTCCCGAAATTGTCTGAGCGTGGTCACAGAACATCCGATCACGTTAAATTATATTCATCAGTTTATTCCAGCTCTGGAAATAAAGATTGAGAAGGGGGCAACCCTTCCGTGACACCGTCTTCCTGGTCCCATAGTCTGACACAGGGTGATCTACTCTTCAATTGCTCTGTTTTTATTCCAATCCTGGAATGTTAGTCAGCTCCTGGCCCCCACCACCTTAGGGCTATCAACAGAGGATGATAGGTTAGAGCTCATTTGATAAAGGAGACACTTTTACTCTTCGTCCGACTGTACATTGTGTGTATTTCACAACTACCGTGGTGGTACGTGCCTTGCTGAGACGGTGCTGTTGATGTGCGTCCCACTAGCGTGAGAGCGTTGATGCGTTTAACGCTCCTACGATGATGACGACGTCCGTTACGCGCTTAACGTGATGGCGGAGTTGCGTGCTGTAGTCACGTGGGCAAAGCAAATCGCTTTAAGCTACATCTACGACTGCTCTAGGCGAAACGAAAACATGCGTGGCTGTGTTCTCGAGCGCTTCCCCGAAGGCATGGGAAATGATAGGCCATCAAAATCCAGTCTCAAGATTGAGACCGTGACATCAGCGGAAATGCATTTGGTCGGCTTAAAAATTTTTCTTGAGGGAGGAAACCCATTGATAGCCACTCGTCTCTAACACCAGGCATCATGGCTGCATTCGTTCAATAGGCTACACCCTCGCTGATGATTTGCTTGAAGTGGAAACCGGTCCAGGGTCTTTTCGCTCTTTCAAACAATTATTGCCATCAGACTAAAAAATAAATTCATAAACATTTTGTTTTACCAGGTAAAGCCCACTGAGCTATAGAACTGTTTTTCAGAAGCGACCTGCCCACAAATGATAGCTCAACTAAGTCACTTATCACGTGGAAATGTTTTTCAGCCAAATACTCTAAATGCGCGTTGATTCTTAATGTGGAGGGAAAACCCAGAGGACCCGCTGAAAAATCCACACGACCATGCGGAGAGAGACATGCAACCTTCAAATATACAGGGGTCAGGGTCGGAATCGAATCCATGACCTCCTGCATACCAGGCGAGGTAGTTGACATCTCACCACTGTGGCGCCCAGACATTGGCTCCAATGTTCCTATCGATAAGACTTTGACACTATCCACCGAGACTGCTCGATTACGTAGAGCACACGCAGGCCCTGCCTTGTCCAGAATACAAACTGTGGCTGGTACAGCGGCTGCCGTACGAACGCAAGTGCTGTACGCAGGTCGGGTACGACCATGACGCGTGGGCGCACTTCCTCACTCGGGACACCGCGCCGCATGCACAGGGCACGTCTGGCTAACGTGACCGAAGCGCTCGTGAGAGGTCTTGCCTCGTGAAACACATGGAAATGGAATCGGAAGGAAAACTGATGATGTACACGTAGGTGTCCACCGCGTACGTCATCGGAGTTGGAGAGGGTTAATTGCGTCAGGAGTAACGGAGAGCGTCGCTTCCCATGATGCCTCCTTCATATTTGTGGATTGGGCATTGAGTCATTGTGTGCTTCCACCATCCGTTCTGGGTGGCCACAGTCACCGTGCACTCTCGGAGAGTTTTTATTTTCCAAAAAAGAGAAATTCGAAGCCTCGATTTGAAGATGGGCAGGAGGTCACCCACACGGGTGCCTAGGGGGAGTTAGAGAGAGAAACCATGGGCGACCGTCTCTCACCGGGGAAAGTTTGACGGAGATCCTTGGTGGCCGGAGCGGGAGATCATGTGGTGGGGACTACGCCCCCCCCCCCCCCCGCTCCCTGCCCCTTAAGATGACCGTTGTGGACGTAAAGTTCACGTCATGCCAACACGACAGGGCTGGGTTGCGCTGATATGCGACCGTGTTGCCGTCTGTGCCTGTGCAGTGCGTGTGCAGCCGCTGCGGGGCCACGTCGGACCCGCTCCCCTTCGTGCAGATGATCCAGTACGTGTCCACCACGGCCCTCTGGTGAGTGACGATGCTGCGAACGGTGGGGGTGGGCGGGCGGGCGGCGGGCGAGTGGATGCTGCCACGGCCTCAACATCTATGCCTGGAAGGCATCCTTCTTGGCCTTGCCACATCTTCCAGCCTGGCACTGATCGTGTTCGTACCAGGCTCCTGGACACAGGGCTTTGCACATATGACTCTTTATCACAAGTCCACCGTGTTATAATAATAGCACCATATTTATCCAGGAATTCCTAGACCAGAGGAGTATTTTAGACAGTGCCTTGAGTATTTCAAAGTGTAGAAGGAGAACTTGCTGATGGTGTGATGCTCACAGCATTCATAGAGAATATGCCATAAACCCACTTGCTACACTAACACCGTAGAGTCTCAAACACGTGATCATGTCCACAATAGAGGTTTTTTTGTGTTAGGTCGCGTAAATATATAAATGTGTCGTTAAACCCGTCACCACCCGACACAGCCAACTAGTAAGGGTTGTCACGTAAACAGAACGTGGCCAATTCGTCACTAGTACAGCACACCGGTGTGTTAAAGAGCCAAGCCACAATCTGAGGACAACGTTTCACCAGTAATTATAACCGGCTTCATCAGGTGACAGCCAGATTTGGGGAGAAATCCTCCTGTCTCGTTCTTGAGTGAAAGGGGGGGGGGGGTTAATGAATGCATGTAAATGACAATGGGTATCCATTGCCGTTTGGGTTATGTATATGGTAATTAACGTACATTCTTCATGCACATTCTGAAAGGCCATTGTTCTTGTACATCCTGTAGATTGTGTGAACTAAAATAGCCGTACCAACGGTAATCCCTATGGCAGAATGGTGACCTGTATAGCCATGGATTTAAACAATGTGGTATTTGATAATTCTCTTCCAAGCAGCACTAAGTCTGTAGCTATCCAAACGGTGACAATTATTTGTATTTCTCTCGTGACAGCATTCGCATAAACTACTCTTGCTGTCGTACACCGGCGTCTTCTTGGTGATCACTGGAGACACCGGCGTATTGGTGATCACTGGAGACACCAGTGTCTCCAAGACGCCGGTGTCTCCAGTGATCACTGAGACGCCAGTGATCACCGAGACGCCGGTGTCTCCAGTGATCACTGAGACTCCAGTGACACCAGTGTCTCCAGTGATCACTGGAGACACTGGCGTCTAGGTGATCACTGGAGACACTGGCGTCTAGGTGATCACTGGAGACACCGGCGTTTCGGTGATCACTGGAGTCTCAGTGATCACTGGAGACACTGGCGTCTAGGTGATCACTGGAGACACCGGCGTCTCAGTGATCACTGGAGTCTCAGTGATCACTGGAGACACCGGCGTCTAGGTGATCACTGGAGTCTCAGTGATCACTGGAGACACCGGCGTCTAGGTGATCACTGGAGTCTCAGTGATCACTGGAGACACCGGCGTCTTGGTGATCACTGGAGTCTCAGTGATCACTGGAGACACCGGCGTCTCAGTGATCACTGGAGTCTCAGTGATCACTGGAGACACCGGCGTCTTGGTGATCACTGGAGTCTCAGTGATCACTGGAGACACCGGCGTCTCAGTGATCACTGGAGTCTCAGTGATCACTGGAGACACCGGCGTCTCAGTGATCACTGGAGTCTCAGTGATCACTGGAGACACTGGGGTCTAGGTGATCACTGGAGACACCGGCGTCTCAGTGATCACTGGAGTCTCAGTGATCACTGGAGACACTGGCGTCTTGGTGATCACTGGAGTCTCAGTGATCACTGGAGACACCGGCGTCTAGGTGATCACTGGCGTCTCAGTGATCACTGGAGACACCGGCGTCTCAGTGATCACTGGCGTCTCAGTGATCACTGGAGACACTGGCGTCTTGGTGATCACTGGAGACACCGGCGTCTAGGTGATCACTGGCGTCTCAGTGATCACTGGAGACACCGGCGTCTCGGTGATCACTGGCGTCTCAGTGATCACTGGAGACACCGGCGTCTCGGTGATCACTGGAGTCTCAGTGATCACTGGAGACACCGGCGTCTCGGTGATCACTGGCGTCTCAGTGATCACTGGAGACACCGGCGTCTTGGTGATCACTGGCGTCTCAGTGATCACTGGAGACACTGGCGTCTAGGTGATCACTGGTGTCTCAGTGATCACTGGAGACACCGGCGTCTAGGTGATCACTGGAGACATCGGCGTCTCAGTGATCACTGGAGACACCGGCGTCTCAGTGATCACTGGAGACACCGGCGTCTCAGTGATCACTGGAGACACCGGCGTCTAGGTGATCACTTGGGAGGGGGGGGGGGGTTGACTGGGCGACCATGGGATGCGGCGCCATTCCTTTGTGGGTCACGGTCTACTTTGAACGTTGACCGCCAACGGAAGTGCACAATACATTTTTCAGAAGCACTCCCAATCGGCTTCTGTCCACCTCTTTATTGCATCTTTTTGATCCTGGCCCAAACTTCCGTGACTGCGCCAAGTGTCCAGTCAGAGATGCCGAACTGAGGGACGCGGGCGTTAGAGAGCCACGTGCAAGTTAGAGACGTCACGTTGACGGTCCAGGAAACCCGAGCGGGCTCGCGCCGGTACGCGGTGTCGCCGGAACGGACGACGGCCCGGCGTTCCGAGACCGGCGATGGGAGCGGCAGCCTCGGGTGAGGGACGTGCCCTGGTGCGGGGCGGAGATGGAGCAATCAAATCGGCTCGTGTGCAGGAGCAAGAGAGATTGTGGCCGTCGTCACGCACGTCCGATTAGCCCGATTGGTCACATACGGTGCCGGAGAAGTTCAACGTACGTACATGACTGGTGACGGTGATGAAGATGAGGTTAGGCACGGGTACCCTTTGAGAGGAGCGCTGTGTGGCGCACGCACAGCGCTAACCGCAGCCCTGAATGATGCCGGCGCGGGCTGTGGGTGTGCGTTACGCCATTTAGGCGTGCCAGCATTGGTAATTGCAGTGCGAAGCGCCCCTTAATCCGCCTGGGCTATAATTCACGCGTCGTGTTAGTCGTGTGCAAAATAATGAATTGCCCTTAAATCAGCGTGGCCCCGACAGCACGCGCAGTTTAAAGTTGTCTCTCGAATGTCTTCATTAGATAGCGTGCACGTCCCCGCGCATAACGCTTTCATCCGCAGTGACCTTAACTGTCATGCATCATTAATGAGTCAATTTTTACAAAAATATTATTAATGTCAAGTCACGTTACGCAACGCGCACGCACGCTCTCTCTCTGGCCGGCGCTGCCTGGCGCTGCGGTGTTTGTGCTTGCTGCCGCCGCGGTGACGAGGCGACGCACGTCACCACACCCTCATCGCTGCTGCCACCGCTCCTCCTGCTGCTGCTGCAGCCGTCTCTTCCATTGCCTCGCCGCTACTTCTCTTTCTCGGCCCCCCACTCCGGAGTTGGTTTTATCTCTCGTCAGCTGTTCTCGTCACCGTGACCTGCCCGTTTCTACTCGATTCTCTTTGCTTTAACAGCAGCAGCAGCAGTGGTGCGACCCCTGCCTTTTTCCTTCTCTGTGCATCTGTGGACGGTTGAATCTGTGCTCGGTGTTGTGACATGTCAGAGGATAGTGTCGCAGCCTTCCTTCAGCGGCCAGGTTTGTGGGATGTTGACATCCGGAAAGCTTGCCAGCTGAACGTCCCAAAGATACCCTGTGGCCGTTCAGGAGTTTGTCCCAAGCGAGCAGCGGTTTGCTGCACGGTGGGCGTGTTTCCCCGGACGCTCGCGCTCCGTAGCTTAGCGGCACTCTAGGGTAACACTCTAGGCTGGTAACTTTGTTATTATCTCAAAAAAGATGCAACCCAAACAACACCGATTCCGTTTTTACGACATACGTTTATGTCATCGGAACGGAGTTGGAAGAACAACTAAAACCAAATAACTTTTTACCAAGGCTCCCACAAGGCCATGCGGGAGGGCGTGTGGCACAGTTTTGCAACAGCTATCGTCGAGTGCAGTTGTGTCGCTCCAGTTCTCTGCGGTGCTACGCCTCTCTAAAGAAAATTCACGCGAACCGCTGCGTGTTCTGAGATTCAGCGGTGAACGGGATAACCCCATCCTGCAACTCGCAGACGTCTCGGAACGGGAAAGGGTGAATTTCCATCTGTAAACGATGAGAAAACCTCTCATCGTCGCAACAGAAACATGTCCCTTGCCCACATTATTGATGGTGGTCGAGGACACATTCCTGCAATGCAGTTTTTTTCTGAGCGAGTGGTTTTGCATAATGCACATGGGGGTTGCTTGTCCCGAGCTGCCACGAGTGAATGACATGAGGTTCCGTTGACGCAAGTTGCGATGGAGCCGGATTAAACAATCCGGCATTTGCCATGCCACACCGTCTCTAGAGCAAGTAGCGGAAGTCTTTGTGAGATATAAATGTGTGTGTGTGTGTATATAGTGAATGTATTCTATGGTATTGATCGTGAGTGAGGATTCAGACTTGCGCTAGGCAGCCCAGGATGCACGACACGGCTCCGTGGCTGCAGCGTAAAGAGCTGGCGTGTGGTCATTCGGCCACCTCGAGATTTCTTTGACAGACACCGATTTAAAGACACCACCGGCCGTTAGCTTGATCTCCACGATTGCTTTCTCGTCATTTTTTCTGCCTGGTTTTAACGACTCGCGCGTCTCTCAGCCTTGGCAGTCAACGTTTACACGCTCGCGGCTTAACGGCAGCGGAACACCGCGGAAGTTTTGCTTAATTGGTACCTTTAGTGGACGTGAACGAGGGGGCCGCTTTCGTGTGTCTCGGAAAGTAAATGGCCATCGATTTCAGAGAAACCAAATTCAGTGGTTTTGCAGGTTTTTGTTTCCTTAATGCACTGCTTGGCAGATGCCGGCAATGATGATGATAATGATGGCAATGCATTAGTGTCGGGCAGCCGAGTGGTAGTCATGGGGCAGCTGAAGTGCCCTGGTGGTCGGCACTCAACGGCCGCTGGGCGATTCTCGGGTAGAGCTCCCGGTTGTGAATTCCCACAAACCGCCCGGTGATTTCCTGCGCAGGATTCTCCGGGAGCGCAACGTCGATTGCAAAGTGACCGTTGACAAGGCGTAGATATACGTGGATATTTACTCTTAAGCGTAGGCCATGGCTGCCCGTGACGTCGCCCTGGTTTAATGCACGGGGTCCTGGTGCGGAAGATTTTCCACGCCGTGCAAAATTAGTTTCCCGTGTGTCTATTATAAATGCGTTATTAATGCTCCAGCAATGAATATTGTAATGATGCGGAGACCCCCAAGCTTCCTTCATAATTCAACAAAAGTTATTCGGAGATTCTGCGTTCGCAGTGGTGCACACGCGCAGTTAACCAAAAAAACAACTCGACGCGTTCTGTGTCAAATAACACTGCGGCCGTAAAAGTACGAATTTTTAGCGGGTCACGTTTCGGGCACTTGGCCCTTTCTTGTGTGCTCATGAGGAAGGGCCATCGTCTGAAACGTTGCCTGTCAGGAATGTTATTGAGGCGCCACGGTGGCGAGGTCTTTACTCCGTCGCCCGGTTTCCAGGACGTTGTGGGTTCGATCCCGACCCTGACGCCTGCTGTATATTTGGAGTTGGCGTGTCTCTCTCCCCGTGTCACGTGGAGTTTTTTCCGGGTCCTCCGGTTTTTCCCTCCACATTTAGAAACGTGCGTTTAGAGAATTTGGCGCTATAAATGTCCACATGATGAGCATCTTTGTTGAGATATCATTTACGGCCGGGTCACTTCTGAAAAAGAGCTGTATAGCACAGTGTGCCTTACCTGGTAAAATAAAAATTGTTTAATTCATAGATTAGTTTAGTGTTGAGTTTTTGTGGCATTCTTTCATCGTTAGTATCGCCGATTCCTTCACAACCGTTGTGATTGACAACTGATCTGGCCGCCTTGTGGCCGGGAGGTTGGAGCCATCGACGGTCAAGAGGTCAAATCTGGGGCACAGATACACTTAGCCCATCACCCCTCCATGCTCGGTAAAAAGTACCACTTGGTGAGATGTCCATAGCAGTTGATCTGCTCACAGATTGGATTTCGTCCTGGCAATTCTGTAATTTCGGCAACTTTCAGGCACCCACCTCACAAGAGCACTGAAACACTGTTGTTGTGTGGTTGCTGTTCTTGTGGAAACTGCTGTTGCTGAGGCTGCTGTAATTCTGCCTGTTGCTGAGCTTGCTGTGAATGTGGCTGTTGTGCTTGTGGGGATGGGTAGCGTCGCGGTTATCTCGCTGCGCTGCGAACCCGGCGACCCGACTTCGATTCCCGCTCGGCGGCCACCAACGCCAGTGAAGATTATCTGAACTGGTCATGGGCCTCCCCTAGGTCGACGCAGCCTCAAATGATTACCTGGTGCAGTGTGTAAACATCACCAATAGGGAGACAAAGGTGGTCGGGCGTGGTGCGCGCCGCCCACCCACCCACTTCCGCGTGTGCCGTGCCGGCCTTCATAGCTGACAGCACTTGCCCCCCGACGGTCTGTTTGGCTATATGTGGGGGGGATCTTTGTCTTGGCGCTGGGTGTAATCGTGGCTGCTGCCGTGCTTGTGCGTGGGGCACCACAGTGAGCAGGTGCACAGCATGATGGAGCGCCAGCAGGATCACTTCCACCCGGACATGTTCGGGGACGTCCTGCGGCAGGCGAGCACCGCCGGGGACTTCAGAGCCTGCCCCGTGAGTCTCGCTCGCACGCACGCTCACGCGCACACTCACACGCACGCTCATACGCACGCTCGCACGCACGCTCATACGCACGCTCATGCACAATCGCACGCACGCATGCTCACAGTCGACTCGCTCACCCGCGCCCGCAGTTACTTGCACGTGTGCACGGTCGCTCGCTCATTCTTAAGCGACAAAGACAAATATCCCCCGTGTAGCCTTAACAGGCTGTTGGGGGGGAAAGTGCTGTTAACGAGCACCTTTTGAAGGTGGCCGGCACCACGCACAGCCACCTTTGTCTCTCCCCCCAGTGCTGATGCTTGCATACACATCGCACGAGGTACTCATTGAACGTTGAGTCAACCTGGGGGATCCCCAGCACCAGTTAAAATATTCGCCGGTGTTATTGGGGATCGCGCAGTGTGTTAACCACGACGCTCCCGCTGCCCCACGTAGTTATTCACACCCACAACTTCACACTTGCACACACAAATCAAAGCAGAGGGCACAAGCAATATTTGCCCCATTCTAATATGCGCCATTGACGTTAACTGTGGCAGGGAATCTAAGCGGGATCTCCGGGTTCAGAGGACAGTGCACAGCCAGCCACTGCACAACGTCTGTCTCCACATCCCACGTGTGGCTCTGTGTGGAGAGCGATGGCCCAGTGGTTAGCGCACTGTGCCACGAACCCAGCGACCCGAGTTCAATTCCCGCTCAACGGCCACCAACGCCAGTGATGATTGTGTGGACCGGCCTCGGGCCTCCCCTAGGTCGACTCAACCTTAAATGAGTATCTTGTACAATGTGCAAACATCAGCACTGGGGGAGACGAAGGCAGCTGGGCATGGTACTGGCCTCCCCACCTCTTTACGTGCCGTGCCAGTCTTCAAAGAATGTCTCTGACAGTACTTGTCCCAACAGTCTCTTCAAGGCTACACGGGGAATCTTTGTCTTTAAATATCGGTGGCACAGCTGTTCCTCCACGGCACTCCGATCCCATGGATAACATCAGTGCCAGTCTCTATCTACACCTGCCCTGATCCTACCATAGTTCAAATCAGCCTTAACCAAGCACCTATATATATAAAAAAAAATCAGCAGTGGAGAGACAAAGACAGCATGCTCACTAACGAGCATGGTGTGCGAGGCTAAATGAGGGGGGGGGGGATGTTCTGGCGCATTGTGACGATGACGGCGGCGCTACGGAGCCACGGAGCCGTATTGTGTCGCGTTATCCGGGGTGGGGGATCTTTGTCCTTTGATTGCCATTAAGCTGCAATGCTGTTTGTCAACGGTGAGTCGGCGCTTGTCAGTGTGATCTCTTCCCTCGCGTGCGGTTGTTTTCCCCACTCTCTACGGTTTCCTCCCACACGCACACTCCCCCCCTCCCAGTGAGAGTCGTTGTATGTCCCCGTTGGCATTCGTTGCATCGCAAACAAACCCCGAGCTGGCTGTGCTACGGCTGGTATGCGTGCGCACGCACGCACACACGGAGCACGCACGCACGCACACACGGAGCACGCACACATACATACGCGCGAGCGCGGTTTCGCGCTCAGCGTGGGTGTCCCAGAAAAACGCAGCCGAGGCGCCAATTGTGAGCCTCACAAAAAAAATTAGTTCACAGGGAAAGGAATTACGCACGGTATGCAACTTCGACGTCGTCAATTATTCAGCGTCGCATCTTCGCAGAAGCAATCTGACAGAGGAGCCCGGGAGGAAGAGGACCTGTTTCAGATGTTTGGGACCGCGCATCGAGGAGTATATTTCTACGTGTCTGGGAATGTGCACTTTTGGGTACTTTTCTTGCCCTCGGAGGTGATCCAATATCTGTTTCCAGTAACAATATCGAGACGAGAGCGGTGAGCCTGTGTGCGTTTGTCTGATTTGCCTTTTTCTTTGCTCTTTCACTTGGTAACGATTTCCATCAAAGTCATACGACGTTTTATTTTGGTAGTCACACATTGGCCAAAGCACTGTGCCAGTGCCGTCGCGGTTACGGTTACCAGACTGGAACGGTGAACCGGCCCGGTGGCACGGTTAGTCGAGTGACCTGCTCGCAAGTTCAACTCCTGATTGGGTGGGGTTGACTCGACTCATCATTCCACGTTGTCAGAAAGTCAACAGTGGTCCTACGGAAGAGACTTGCCACTGCCATACTAACGTAGAATCAATCCACTGGACTGTAAACAGGAGAGATGAGCACCGTCTGAATATTCACGTGAGTAGGAAATCACTTCGACTTGCTTTGGTTTTGCACTGGGCGCCTCAATGCCACGAGATGAGACCTGGACAATCCGCCGAGCCCACTCCCGAGAGCTCTGGGTCGTAGGCATTTGCCACCGCTGGGGAGCTGAGGTACATACTGAGGGCCTGATCAGACTTGCCCACTAAGTCAAGACCAGGTCTCCCAAGGCAAAAGTTTAAGGACACGGGCAACATACACGCCTCGTGGCCAAGAATGAGGATTAATCCAAAGCACAAACGCATGACATTTAATCCTCACAGTCGTTCCCGCGTGCGTGCGTGCATGCATATGCGTGTGTTTCTTTTAAGTCCATATTTTTGTTGCTGTGCCACATGAATGCCCCTGTTGGGGCAGTATCTCAAAGGGCTCTCATCCGCCTAATTAGAGGACATTGATTGATCGATCGGCACGTGGCATCGATATGCAAGTCCTAGTTACGTTGAAGCCAAGGGCAGGGGCAAGGTCTGAATTTTACTGGGCTTGGGGCCATCGTGAGGCCACGGCGTGGAATTACGCGGCCGCCCCATGTGCGTTCAAGTAAACGTTTACTTGTGTACTCGTGGGGTTTTTGTTACGTTTCACGATAGACCTTTTGGGATTCACGTTTGGCTGTCGGGTTGTTGGAGGGTTTCACGACACATGTTTGGTCGGGTCATTAAATGGCCGAACCAATAAAATAAATTATGAAATCAAGTCAAAGTGTGTCTCTCCCTCCGCTAATGAGCAGTGACCTCTCTTGGCGGATCGGAGCTAGTCCACGTTGCCATGGCAGAGGGCCAGCGAGGAAAAATCACGTCGGGAGGCAGCTACACAAAATATAAACCGAATAACAAAATGACAGCTTGCAGCGTTGGAAGTTTGTACAAATGTTTTCAGTTCTGCTTTCTCAAACCAAAGTTTATGGTAATTATAGACGTTGGCACGTGTGTGTTTCTGTGTGTGCGCGTGTGAGTGTGTGTGAGTGTGTGCGCATGGTGGGAGCGGTAGTCCAGCGGTTAGCGCATTGCGCTACAAACCCGGCGAACCCGAGTTCGATTGCCGCTCACGGCCAACACCAGTGACAATTATCTGGACCAGTCCCGGGCCTTCCCTAGGTCGACTCAGCCTCAAATGTGTACCTGGTGTGGTGTGTAAAAACATCGCCACTGGGGAGACAAAGGTGGCTGGCCACCCCCACCTCCTTTTTGTACCGTGCCGGCCTTCATAGGTGCTCGCTAACAGCACTTGCCCCAAAAGTCTGTTAAGGCTGTATGAGGGATCTTTGTCTCTGTGCCCGTGTGTGTGTGAACTCTGGCTCATCAAGTCGTAGTTGTCCCGTAGAGGCAACGGATCGTTGTTGGCACACGCATTTGAACTGCTCTGTCCCTGCGTTCAACTCAATTGATGGTCCATGTTGCCTTATTAATAGCTGGGAGATTTAAAATAAGCGGATGTGAGTATGAATGGGCTAGAGCATGGGGGCGCCCGTGCGGTCTTAAAAATTCATATCTGTCACGAGCGGGGCTGACGTTAATGCGAATTGGATCAGCGCTGGTGCGTTCCAAGGTACTCATCCATTCCGCGATCGCATAGAGCGGAGAGCGATTGAGACCCAGGCCATCACAAATGAATCTCTACATCGCGTCCCCTTTGTAAGGGGGACAATGAACATAGTGCAATCGTTATGTTTACTATTGCGATTTTAGCTCCAAGGCAATGTAACACTGTAGTTTCATCGTGCGTGCCTACGTACAACGGGCTTGGCATCCTGTGGCGAAAACATCGCGAAGCCAGTCTCGAATTCCGAGTTCCCGCCGCCGTCTCGCACAGAGGGACACGGTGCAGGCTCGGCCTTGCGGGGGGCACGCCGGGGTATTGACGTGAAGATGTTATCCTGTCAGAAGCCCCTGTGAACGCGGACGCCAGGGACATGGTGAGGCTTGGGGCACGAAGATAGATTGTTGATTCCCCCCCCCCCCCCCCGCGTGGGTTTCGTTGCTGTGCTTGGCCGTGCCTCGCTCGGGGCCTCGTGTTGTTGCGAGGTTTCGCATGCGGTGCTCTGTCGTATCGCTTGATGCTGTCCAGGTGCTGCAGATTTAAGCTCCCCTACATTAATCCGTTTGTTCTTTCCGTTTAATAACAATAACATAGTTTGAATGCGATTGACGATGTGGGCGTGTTCCGCGAATCCAGAGCGTGTCCGTGTATATTTAACGTAGACGATGGAAATGGCTTCGTTCTCGTAACGCCATGAGAATCGTGGTGAGAGGCAGGGCTCGCTGAGAGGAAGTCGGCTCGGAGGGCCGGGCAGGACACGCGTCGTAAGAAGAGAGGAAAAAGCAAATGGGAGAAGGAAGGCGACGAACATGGAAGCACCAGGGCAGTGCGGGGAGGCAGACGAAGAGAGAGAGGAGGCAGCTTTGAGTGGTGAGGCCAGGACGTGAGGGAGCGTGAAGTGGAGGGGATGACCCAGGACAGGGATGGGATGAGCGTGAGCAGCAGGGAGACAGCAGAGCCCACGTGAGTGGAGAAAATGCCAGGAAGAGGAAGAAGTCACGACCGGGGAAGCATCGTTTGTGAAGTCGTATGGCTAGCGGAGCATGATCTCACCTCGTCAGGGAGTGAACTCCGAAGATGGCACCGTGTGACTGCTTCTCGAGTTAGGCCTCTGCTCCCGTGCGCGAGAGGGCGGCAGTCCGTCGACTTCACAGTGGTTTACCACTTGTCAATCTGGGGGGGGGGGGGTGGGAGGTCAACCATCCCCGGCAGTCGCCTCGCCCCC